GTATTAATTTATTTTTCGTCGAATTTCAGTTCAATTTTTTGGACCAATTTCTCAAGGAAATTTTCTCTATAATTTGGGTTTGAATAAACGATTAACAGTAAGAGATAATATTTTTGAATAATATTTATTATAAATAAAAATATTTCTAGGATTTAACATATGACAAAACACCTGAAGAACAAGAAGAAATTTTAAATGATGTGGAAAAATTAGTTAGTTCAGAATATATGGGTGATCGATTTCTTTATATTTGTGCACAACGAACAAATAAAATAAATGCACCTGCGGGTTTTTCTTCTCCCAATTGAATAGAGAAAAAAAAAGATTCATAGAATTTTTGTAAAGGAAGTTTTTGCTTTCAGATGCCAGGACATTTTATTAATGAACTTAATTCATGTGTAGACGATTCACTTATTGGTTATGTTCGTACGTATGATTATTTAGAATTAGCTGGACGAGCAGTTATTACACGATCTCCGATACCATCCGTAGCTGTTATTAGTGGAAATGGAGCTGGTCATGAACCAGCAATGGTTAGTTAAAAAGAATAAATTATCGTTTATTTTTTTTTATCTTTAGGTTGGATTTGTCGGTCGTGGATTACTAAGTGCTTGTAAGTACATAATGGAATTAGTCTTTAGGGAAAAAATATTTTAAAATTTGAAATTTTTTCTTTTTCTAGGTATATCAGGTTCAATATTTGCATCACCACCATCAGCAGATATATTTCGTCTTATTGTGGAAATGAAGCGTCGTGGTGCTAAACAAATACTCTTAATTATTCTCAATTATACAGGAGATCGTCTGAATTTTGGTTTAGCTATGGAACGTTCTAGAGAATTAGCTATTGATATTGATATGTTGGTTATTGCTGATGATATTGCACTCAATATTCCCATTGGGTAGATAAGAAAAAAAACCGACCAGATGATTTTCATAGTTACTTTTTTTTTAGGCCTCGAGGTTTAGCTGGAGCTTTATTAATAATTAAAGTTGCTGGTGCATTAGCTGAACAAGGTAAAAATATGACTGAAATTGTTGATGTTTGTCAAAAAATACGCGCTCATTTACGTACAATTGGTTTATCTGCTTCGGGTATTCGAGCACCAGGTCATCAACAATCATTTGATGTATGTTTTGAAAAAGTTCTTTTTTTCGAAAAGGATTCTGCCAGGTTGGGTGATCTAT